TCAAGTCCACAGCTTCACTCTAATTGACCATAACTTATATATACATATTTATTTGATGTTATTTTAATTTTTCTGTGCTTTCTTTCTTCACACTGTTGCGTGAGAGGCTCTTTGTCTTTGACAGTTAAATACAGTTGAACACTGTGTTGATTTATAGCAGATTCAACAAAATTTAAAATAGTTTCTTGATGTCCACGAATGCATTAAGTTCATATTTGCAAGACTCAAATTAAAGTCTACAGAAAAAACAAACAAATAAAACCTACTTTAATAACTTTTACTGACACATTTTCCCTGAAGTCAAACAAAAACCTGCATTATTATGTGATATGTATGACTCAGCTTTCATATAAAGATAAAAGTTTGGACAAATGTGCGATAAAGATCACAAATATGAGCATTTTACTCATTTAGCAGGAGAACAAAGTCGCTTGCACCTTACTGTCAGGGTCTCTGTGACATATTCTAACCGACCTCTGAAACCTTCCACCACCAGCGGCCTTCCAGCTGCCGTTCTGCCAGCTCGTCAACCAGACGGTGTCCCTGGAGAAGGAAGGCTGTCCGCGGTGCCACCCGGTGGAAACCACCATCTGCAGCGGCCACTGCATCACCAAGGTACAGAGGAGACGAAGCAAAGAGAGGAGAATGAAACGAGAGAGAAACCGGAGGAAGAACAGATTAATTTGGTGCCTTAATTGAAGAAACAGTTGGAGTATGAAATTAAGACACATTCAGTGGTTGAGCTTTAAAGTGAAGGTTCGTTTAATGAAACAGCACTGTGTGTAATTATTTCTGAATAATAAGAAAACAATTTAAACCTGCTCATAATGTGTGAGTCACTGCCTTAATTAACTCGTGTGTCTGTAGTTTTTTGGTGCATTTAGGTCACAATCTGTGATCATAACAAAATAAAACCTGCTTTAGTCTAGTAATAATAAAAGTCTAGTGCAGCAAAGAATAAGCAAGATGTAGTCTTTATCTGAGTCACTCTTTGTGTTTGTTAGATGAAAAGGAAAATGTAATAAAATGAGCTTTTTCATGACATCATGCTGTTTTCACACCTTTATAGGGTCATCACATGTTTTATTTCCATTTGTCCCGTGTTCAGGACTCCGTTACAGACGAGCAGCAGTTCAGTCTGTTTCATATCAGCAGGAAGAAACTAATCTGTGTGACAGAACCTCAGCCGCCTAAATGAGACGTGAATAAATGTCCATAAACACTCTGTACTGACTCTGAGGCCTTTTCACCGCAGTCTGTTTCATGTAACACAGCAGTTAAAGCCAAGCTGCTGCTGATATCAACAACAGCTCTTTAAAAAAAAACCCCGTTTCATGACAGTGTGACAACAAACCTGCATCACAAGCAGCAGGACTTGAACTGTGTGAAACGTGATTTGCTTTGTGGGTTTTGTTGGGTCATTTAGCTGCTTCCTGTTTTAAACAGAACTCTTTTGTGGACTTTGTGATTGTTTTCATCAGCTTCCTGCTCTAACGTCGTGTTGTTCTTGCTGCCCTCCAGGATCCTGTCATCAAGACTCTCTTCAGCAAAGTGTACCAACATGTGTGCACGTACCGGGACTTCTACCACAAGACCTTCGAGCTTCCTGACTGTCTGCCGGGCGTGGACCCCACCGTCACCTACCCGGTGGCTCTGAGCTGCCACTGCGGCGGATGCGCCATGGACACGTCCGACTGCACGTTTGAGAGCATGCAGCCCAACTCCTGCATGAAAGACGAACCTTTCTACTACTAGTCTGGACCAGCAGCCACTTCAATCACACTCAGACAGCGTAGAGGCAGTTCAAAGTGTTTCCTGTGTCTTGTGCAAATAAATGAAAGGATTAAATACACTAAATATAAAAGATCAATCTTGTTGCTCACTTTGTTTACCAACCTCCTCCAGCAGCCTGCAGGGGGCAGCAGCAGGACATACTAGAATGAACCACATGGTCACAACAACCTGAACTTTAAATCAACATGAACACAGGCTGCATACTGCTTTTTCTTTAAGACTTGGTTCAGGTGTGAATTAATGCGAATTAGTTCAATTTAAACAAGAGAAAGCTGACAAGGAGAACTGCAATAACTAACTGATTCTTCAATTGTCAGCTGCTGTACAGATATTGAGAGATTTTGGAGATGAACTTTCTTCTTTCTCATTTCTCTGACTTGAGTCTTCTCCTCTCTCATCTCCGCTGTCCTCTGTCCAGAAACAGAAATCAGTCTTCATGCCGTCTTGGAGGATGTTTCAAATCCTAGAAATGCATCTGGAGGAGAGAGAAGCTATGAGCAAGGATGTGTAAAGGTGTGACCTAAAAGAGGTTCCACACAGCTGGAATTTAAAAAAACAGAAAGAAAAGAAACATGTCAGCATATATATCACTCAATCTTAATGTCACTGCTGATTTGTATCACGTGTGTCCAAAAATAAAAATGTACATCAGCCGCATATAACATTGTGTCACACTGTGAATTCAATTATAAGTAATAATAATAATAATCTATGCTTTAAAGCTGTCATGAACACTGTTCTGCATGTCAGCAGGTTTCAGCAACACAACAGACATATTTAACTGATGCTCGTCTCCTCGACTCGGTTTCTTGGTTTCATGTAAGAAGTGAGAAGAGAAATCAAGAATCCAGAAGCTCAGCAATGAGCGGAGTGGGAGGATTAGAGGCCGGGTCAAAGAACAGTGGCAGCATGATGAACGGGAGGTAAAGCAGTGAGGAAGCAGGTGAAGGTTAGGAGACCACCTGGTGGGAAAACAGGGCAGGTGGAGGTGTTGGTGTCTGAAATGTCTGATGAGTAAACTCCAAAAGCACCACTTCTTTGTATCAGGGATGGATGAGAACACACCGCTATCGATGATAAAAAGCTGACAGCAGGAATGAATGAACGAAACGCTGACCACGCCCGGGACGGTTTGCTTCTGTGCAACCAGTTTAGTGAGGGTGTGTTCTCCATTTACTGTGTTTTATTGATTTCTCTTGAGCTGCAGTCGTAGTTTGTGATGTTCTTTTTGAGGTAGCACTGTTTTTATTATTATTATTATTATTGTTAGTAGTAGTAGTAGTAGTAGTAGTAGTAGTCGTATCATTATTAGTATTAGTATTATTATTATAAGTCAAGCGCTCAGGGTCGCTGTACAAAACTCCAAAAGTTAGCAATTCATTATTGGTATCTTCACTGAATGTTTTTCTTTATTTTTATCCTCAAGACAGACTTTCCTCCTCAAGTTTGTCCAGTTAAACACCTGAAGTATCTGTTCTCAGGTGAATCTGAATGAGTATGTGTTGTTATGTGTTGTGAGGTAATTCCGTGTTTCGTGTCCCATTACTGCAGCAGTCTGATGTTCAACATGTCGATTCCAACATCGGATGTGAAACTCCGTTCTCGCATTGAGTCTCTGAGCTCTCATGTCTCCCCGTGTCACCTGTTGTCGGCGTTTGTGTTTGAGGTGAGCGCTGGACTTTAACTTGAAACACGTCCCACCTCTCCGGTATCAGTCCTCTGTTGAAGAGGAGGGAAGTCAGGAAGGAGACGCCCAGTATGGTGGCAAAAGCCACCAGCATGCAGATGGTCCTGATGGGAGAATACTGGACGTAAACTCCGTCTTCCAGGGTGCATCCTGGGAAGTGGATGGCAGGCGGTAACGCTAGCAACGGCTCTCCGCACAAAAGCCTGAAGAAAAACCCGAGCAGGAAGCCCGAAGCGGCTCCATAGCCGTTGGAGATGTCGAAGAAGAGCACGCAGACCAGCTGCGGGAACATCAGGATGTAGGCGATTTCTCCGCCCAGCACCCAGAAGGCCATGACGCCGGTGTGCAGGAAGGTGAGCGACGTCCCGGCCAGCCCGAACAAGACCACAGCGATACGAATCACCCAGCGCATTTCGTTCTCTGACGCCTGCAACGACAGAAAGAAGATCGTAAGATGCAGCAAAGACAGTCAGACATGAGCTTGTACATCTTTTCAGACCTCCATCAATCTTCCTCCACATAAGAGGGGTTGGGTAGCAGGAGCAGGAGCAGGGCGTTTGGTGTCCCCCTGACCAGCAATGTTTTACAGCTCCTCCAGGGTAGTCCTCAGGCATTCCCAGGCCAGATGAGATATATAATCCCTCCAGTAAGTTCTGGGTCTATCCGAGAAGTCCTAGAGCAGTCTATTCCAGAACTCACATATCTCATATCTGGCCCAGGAACACCTCAGGACCCCAGGAGATAAGTCATCCCTCCAGTGAGTTCTGGGTCTGTTCCATGGTCTTCCCCCATTTGCCTGAATCCTCTCAGCTGCCTTCTTCTGACATGAAGGAGCAACGACTCTACCCCAGATCTTCAATCCCAGATCATACGTGTCCACAGGATGCAGAACCTCATCATCCCATTCATTGTCTATGGAGGCAGCTGTGCACTGCTTCCTCCTCAGCTACAGAAAGTTCAGGTCTAGCCTACTTGAAGAGCGCCACTGACTCTGGAAACTTTGAAACTAACCGTTATCGATCTAAAATAAAGGCAGATTCAGTCGGTTATTTATTGCCTCAGATGTTTTCAGAAGCACATTTTGCAGGTTGAAATCCAGGCAAAGAGACGTAAAGGTGTTCTTTTTGTAAACTATACAACACTGGACATTAAGGATGACATGTAGTGAAGCTGCTTTTGAATCCAGAATTTGGCCATATTGACTCTCAATTATTATGCCAGTTTAGAGAAACTGAAGATTTAAGACGGACTGAAGTGTTTAGACATGTTTCTGCCTCCTTTAGTTTACGCTGCTTGTTCTATACGCAGACTTCTACATGTGATGGTGTGAGCGGCCATACGTAACCTGATGTATGTTCTCTGTGAGTCTTTGTTACTCATCTTGCGGCTCACCTTGGTCCTCAGGATCTTCTTGTAGATGTTTGAGGAGAAGATGGAGGCTGAAGACAGCAGGGCGGAGTCGGTTGATGACATCACGGCGGCGGCCACGGCCCCGATGCCGACGACGGAGATGTACGGAGGGGTCAGGTGGGTCAGAGCGAGAGGCAGAATCAGACCTGTTTGACCTCGTTCAAACGGAGGCGGAGACCCGTACGAAGTCTGGTTCCAGTCTGAGAAGATCAGATGAGCCTCATGAGCTTCAAAGATTCATTCGATGGGTGGAGTTGACATGATGATGCTGGTCGTAGCCTCAGCTCAATATTTTGTGTTATTTAAACTCAACCAGCTGCTTCCAAAATCCAAATCCTGGTTCCAGTCTAACTGTGCTTTATTAACGCTACTGCTTTACCTGTGGATGCAGCCACTGCTCCGATGAGCACCGGAGGGATTCCAAACGTGGGGATGAGAAACGCTGCAGCGTAGCATCGAAGCTTCGCCGTGTCCGAGGAGGACGCCGACAACGTCCTCTGGTGGAAGTCCTGAAAACCCAGATCTCCTACACTCTGGGAGAAAGAAACACAAGGAAATCACTCAAATGATCCTTTTTGTGTTGAATAAAGCAAATGTTTCCAGCCTGTAAAGTGCACAGATCACAATAACAAAATGTACAGGCAGTAAAAATACACAAAAAAGAAGCAGACTTGACGTTAATTCTGTAGTGGTCAAGAAAAAAATACATTTCTGTTTGTAATTCTAGAAAAAATATTACAATTTTAAATTCCTATAACCACACATGAAAAATAAATCAGATATATCACTTCTGTGCTGGTTGAAATCAGAATTTAATCAAGTCAAGCTCTGAACCAGGTTACACTCAATGACACTCCATGCCTGGAAAGCTCTGATGTGTTTTTAGAAATTTGAGACATCTTTTTGCTCAGCAGTAGCTTTGTTATTATTATTAGTAGTAGTACTAGTAGTAGTAGTATTAATTTATTTATATTAGAATTTTCAAATAAAGCTTTCAACAGTTTCATAGAAATATTCACGAAAAAAATCACATTGACTGACGTTCACATAATTGAGTGTCTCAGTAATGCAGTGGTGACCGAGTGTTCTGCAGAGAATAAATAACTATAATAATGTCAGATTTCCCCTAAACTAGCAGCTCAGGGGTTAAGTTTAGTGTCCAGCCGTTTCCTCCTCACTTTAAATCAAGTTCCTTCCTGTGTGTGTGTTTCAGTCACCATTCTGCCTCTAGACGCTCACCAGCAGCAGAAAGACGTCGATCCACATCCAGGCCCTGTCTGTGGTCAGAGAGCCGACCCAGGGAGGCTGGAAGGTGTGGTTGAAGGAGGTGGTGGTGATGTCCACAGACGCTGGGCTCATGAAGAGGAAAGGGACGCAGAGCCACTGAACAAAGAGAAGGAGATGCATCAGATACACCGACAGGAGCTGTTTCTGCTGCTTTTCTTTGGCTCAGAAGGTCACTGGATGCTCTCTACCCACACTGGAGGACCTTCATGGCTCTGACTGCCTCAGGAGAGCCAACACCATCCTGAAGGACTCCTGCCACCAAGGCCACTTCCTGTTGGAGCTGCTGCCATCAGGCATCAGAACCAGGACTAATAGACTGACACACAGCTTCTCTCCAGCTGCTGTCAGAGCCACAGATGCCTCTGAATCATAATACATGCAATATCTGAATCTGAATCTCTTTAAAGCCAGCCAACAATTTTACATCCAAAGCGCAGCCTGTTTGTCTCATAGAGCACTAGGCCTCGGAAACGGTTGTGAAACGCTGAGCAAGAGACAAGGTGTTGTTCATGCAGGACGTGTCACAGCAGGTGTGACTGATGACGTCAGCGATGGCTCCGTTCTTCTCAGCGTCTCATTAAATCCTGAAGCAGCAGGAACTCAGAAGGAGCTCCACTAAATGGAACACAGTCATAGAGCTGCAGCAGTTAGCGGCTTTAATCGATGACGCTGGTGCTGAAAATGCAGCGATATCATTTTTTCCCAACTTGGTAATTATTATAACAAATATTTGTCTTGAACATAATGTTGTTTTCGGCTCCAGTCACTGGCCGGCTGCAGTCTACAGTTCCAGACAACAGCTGCAGCAGCAGAGTCTGACTTAGTTTAGTGTAAACGTTTCCAAAAAGCAAAAGCTTTACATGTACGGGAGAAATTCAAATGATTGCAGAACAAAGAGGACGAAGAACGAAGAGAGAGTGTTTTGGTGCAAGCTCTTTATATCAGTTTACTTCTCTCCTGCTCTCTGTGCTCACTTCTACTGCGCATTAATGCAGCTGAACGTCCAAATGAAGCCGTTTTTATTTAAATGTTTTTCTATGTCTGCTGTCAGACAATGAAACAAGCACTGAAGTGCGACTGAACGTTAACTCGCAGTCACGTCCAGGCTGCTTTTATAACCACGTTGTGCAACAAATTCACCGCATGCATAAGTTGAGCACAATCCCATAGCTGTAAATTCATCTATATGTTCATAGAGCTTGAAGCTTCTACCGAAAACAATGAACATAATCAGTGGAGAACGTGTCGCTTCAGCTGCTTTGTGCTGTAAATCATAAATCACATGATATTATGCACGAGATGAAATCTGTCAAAATGAGACAAGTTTAAATTTTGCTTTATTTAGATTAAAATGACCAGTTTTTATTATTCTGCTAATCGGTAAAATAGCTGGTAGATTAATGGATGCTAGCGGTGCAAGCAGCCATCATCAATCATTTCCTGGTGTCGTGTCAAAATGCCTGCTGGGAAAAAGCTCTTTTGTTCCACTGAACACACACAGTCGGCTTCGAACGCCACGTCTGTCAGCTGAAAACCTGCTGTGTGCATCTGCTAAACAAACTGACGAGGCTGACGTACTCACAGAGGTGATGAAAATGAGCGTGAGCTGGATGATGTCCGTGTAGGCCACCGAGTAGAGGCCTCCCAGCAGGGTGTAGGTGATGGCGACGGCCGCAGAGATCCAGATGCACACAGCGTAGGACAGGTCCAGGATCACGCTCATCGTCACGCCTGTGAAACATACATGCAGTTAGAAAACACTCCCCTCTGCACCAGGACTGGACCGTATCTGTCATTAAAACACAACTGGAGCCATTTTTAAAGGTTGCAAAGTGCAGCATTCAGTGAAAAAGCTGCTTTCTAAACCAGCAAAGATGGATGCAGAAGTGTTAGGGTTCATTTCTGTGGCATCAGATTTGGTCAAGTTGCAGCTGAGAACGAAGTTTAATGCCAATGAATCAGCAACAGCTCATCACGAAGGCTGTCAGATTATCATTGACCCTCTAACTCACCAGTTTTCTGGTGGAGTTAAGGAGACGCACTGAAGTTCAAAATTCTTCATTTACAGCTGAAACCAGAAGTTTACATCCAC